CTACTACTACTACTACTACTGGCAAGAGGCAATAGGGCTTGGCGTGTCAATATGTACAGCAGGGAAACAGGGTGGACGGTCAAGCCCGGCCAGGCCGAATATCATCTCGATGAAAGGTTAAAGCAGTTCAAGGACTTCTCTAGCAACGCGCCTTCCTTGCAAAGCAAATAAATACTGAAGTTTTCGGCTGCGCCAGATGATGGTCTACCGACTGGTGAATGTGTCGATGCAAGGTAAACTGCACGGACACTTTCCTGAAAGTGTTGAAGCACAGACTCCTGGCTGCATTAGCTGTTTCCGGCCGCAGGATGCCGCAAGGCCGCTGGAAGACCCATGCATTCACGTGAAGATAACACAGAGTCCAGCATGGCAAACGGTTCAATCTCACATTCCAGGAATGGCGGTGTATATTTTCATTGTCACCGGCTACCATCGTCACGTCGGGTTTGTCGGAGACTACTATGCAGATCCAGGTGGCCTCGCTGCACAACTGCTAGGAGTCTGCCCAACATCTCATATAACACGCAACACTTGACAAAAGAAGATTTGCATCGGCTGCCTGCATGCTTTAGACGGATGCAAAATAGTGCGGCACATGACTGCCCCAGGCTTGGCATCTATGTCCTGGAAATCCGGAGAGCCATATGGAAGGCTCCGATCGGCAAGTGTCAGGGATTGCATTCTTGTAAGCAGATGCAGTCAGGCCGCGCCAACACATGATCATGTCGGTCGTCAACGTCTTCACCTCCATGCAACAGCCACTCCTGTAGCTTGGCATGGATGTGGTAGTTCTGCTATTTCACCAATAAAGAACTGCCAAGGAAGGAGGACTACACACACCTTTTCCGTGGACTCGCTCCTGACCAAGAAGAGCACATGACCAAAGTCTGGAAAGCCTTCCAAGCAGATTTGCAGAAGGCCCGACAACATCATCGCATGCTTGACACGGATGCCTCACTGGACTCTTGTGATCGCAGTCTGTTGAGGTGGAGGAGGAGAAGCGTTGCGTTGCGGATGCTGGCATGTCATCAGGCGGCCTTGAGCGAAATCGGACTGATTGCTGGGGGTGCAGGAGATTGACAGACGGAACAAAGAGCGCGAGATCATGAACATAAATATGCCTGGCACTGATACCGCTTACCAACTGCGAACTGTGATTCCAAAAGCTGCGTCCAGTGCTGAGGTCTCCCAAGGTCATCGAGAGCACGGTGTCGAAATGAGCACTGCGGCACTTGAGGAGTCCTGACTGAGTCCTCACCTGACCGCTCAAGTCTCGAAGAACTCAAAGATCAGTTCTTCACAGAGCCGGGGTTGGTGATGTGGGCGAACCTCTGATCACCGAACTCTACCTGGAGCCGGATTCCACAAAAGCTTTAATCTTTCAGCACTTTTCTGTCGAATCCTCTCCAGGTTTGATTAAATTGGTTCATGATATCAAACGCTTGCGGTGTATTGCAGTGACCGAGCACAGAGGAAGTGCTTTCAACTTAGATGGAACATTAACGGATGAGAGCTAGGTCTTCACAAAGTCCGCCCTCACGACAAGTGCTGCAAGTGAGGCCAGGCATGATGTGATAAATCCGACGGGCATGGCCGAGCCAGTACTGCAGCATCGTGCCGATTCCTCGTGCAGGCTGGCGCTGCTGAGCCCGACTTGTGGGACAAGGCCACATCAGATTGCCTGATCGCTCCATGTAAAGTCCGTTGGCCATCGACGAACTCAGTCCATGTTCTGCCGCAACACCGTGCAACAACATCTACGTACTTGTAAGAGCTGTCCACTTAAGCATGTGACGGTTTTCACAATTGTGGCCCGACAGGCTGTGAAACCGAAACGAAGTCATGATATAACCTTTCCCAGCCGAGCCAACTCTTCGGAAGAACTTAAAGCAAAACGGAAAGCTTGAAAGGAAGGGACAGGGCTCAGTGGGGCCGGAGCCAGCTCAGGTTCGCGACACTATGGAGCTTTTGAAAACTGGCAGGGTGGACACTATGGAGCTTATTCTGTGCAGCCACTAAGAACATTACTTTGGCCGCAAACTCGCCTTTGAACGAGAGTGGTAGTTCGTCTTTGATGGACGAGCATGTCTACAAGCCCAGACAATGTCGGCAACTCCTCCATGAAACACAACATTCCATCTTACATCGAATCGCGGCACGGGGCCTCTTTCCACCTTTTCAGAGACTTTCCCACCAAGCTGCCACGAAACCTGAAAAACTCCAGTCATGACCCAACCCAGACATTACCTACCCCAGGGTTCGTCCTAGAGTCCTAGGTCATTTATGTGGCGGCACTCCCATTTTCGTAACTAAACAGCCGGAGACCCTAAATCCTAAATCCAGAAACCATGCCTGGCTTTGTCGGAGTGCGAGTGTCAAAAACCCAGAAGCCCTGAACCTGGAAACCTTAAAACCAGAAGCCCTAAAACCAGAAGCCCTAAACCCCGAAACCCTGAACCCAGAAGCCCTGAGCGTAAACCCCTAAACCCTAAACCCAGAAAGGATAGACCCAGACACCCTGAACCCAGACCCTGCGCCAGAAACGCTGGACCCCAAAACCCTAAACCAGAAACCCTAAGCCCGCAAGATCCCAGAAGCTGGTGTTTGTCAGTGCAACGGGGCCGAAGCGCGCCGGGGCACCTGCGGCAAATCCATCAGCCCACACCTGTGCGAAAAAAGGTGGGAAGATGAACTCGAAGAAGGATTTTGAAGGTCACCGAGTCGTACACGAGACCTGTCAACAGCGTCTCCCGCTGCGTCACGACTTGATTTCTCAAAACTCGCATCATCACAACGGCTTCTGGCACGCTTCCTAGGAGCTACCTTAGGTGGGTTCGGCGCTTGAAGCGCTGGGTTGAGCATCAACTGAAGACTTCACCCTTTGGCACACATGCTGCACGAGGCAGTGCAGTTATTCTGCCCTTCCATCGCCACCATTTCTGACACTTGCTACAACGAACAATAGCCTCATCGTCTTTACCGCAAGTTTTTGCCAATATGCCGATTCCAGACAGCTCATGGTTGTGTTTGTTGTAGCGAAGATTCATTTCGTCTTCAAGCTTCCTGTGGCGTTTGGCATTTCTCATCGCTCCCCCACTTCCAACCACTGCGACTGGGGCATGTCAGCGAATTCACACTTCTTGTGGGTAAGTTTGAGACGGATATGCTTGTGAAGGCCAACATCGCGCCCGCACTTTCTGCACCATACCCCCTCTCCTTGTACCTGCGGCTGAAGAACGTGACCATTGTCTTCCGTAAGGCTGGGGGGCGCAGGAACACCATCATCAACAGGGCCATATACAGTCTAATGCTTGGGGGGAGATTTTCCTTCGTGTCAGTCCCTGATATTCTTCTGCCAAATTTCCACCAACGGTCGCGGTTCTCAAACAACCGTAGAGGATGAAAGTCGCGAACGCTGAGAGGTGCGACCAGAATACTTCATACACAGAGGAAGCTTCCGACCCGTGTTGGGAATGTTGTTTAGATAAGGCCTTCGAACAAAGTCATAATTCGAACCATCCCAACATTTGCACCACAGTCGCATGCTGAATGTTGTACCTTTCTGCGACGAGCATTGCGTTCCTCAGATAAAAGATCACCTGTAAGAAGCCTTCGCAGAACTCCGAGCTTTGCGTGCGCATCATCCACATTTATTGCGTACCCCTCGGTCTCAACCCATTCTTCAACATCAGTTACAAGGGAAAGCTATTCGTGAAGTGCCATGGTTTTCATATCATTATTGGCCAAATCGCGGTAGTGCTGAGGCCTATCACCAGTCGCCTTGCTCCATGAAAAGCACCGCCGTTTCCAATCATCACACGTAAAAGAGGACAAAAAGGTAGCATGCTCTATCAGCTCGCGTAAGCGTTGTGTTGGACCATCTTTGTGCGTAGTAGGTAGTTGCAGTATACGTTTCTTGACCGTCTCAGCAAAGCATTTTTTGCATACGGCGGGTAGCAGTGCGCAGACCGTGGTAGACCGGCCAAAGAAAGGGTCCAACTGGGGAGGAAGAAGAAAAGAAAAGGTCAGGCCGGTGAATGAATAAGAATCACACGTGAACATGGCGCGCAGAATGTCAGAGCGAATCTTCTTCTCAGGTCGGCCGCATCACAAGCGAATGAATGTGTGCCCTGACCCGAGAGGGCTTGCGGTTGAGTAGCCAACAACATTTTGGCTTTGGATTTCCATGGTACAGATGCATGACGCAAGCCGCAGACCGTACCATGCCGTTTGTCACAGCGTTTCTCATCAAGCTCTGTCAAAGAAACGGCATGTTCACGAACAGTAAAGGAGCCACCTACCAAACGAAACGATTCGCAGTGATCATATTTCGCATGCAGGATTTCTGGTAGGCATCACCAAAGATGAAGACTTCAGGCTCGGAGATGACCCTCCCCGTCCGCATCTTACCAACGACGACGAATACTGTTCTGGAACTATTGTCTCGTTGAAGCTGTGGCCACCCCTGAAACATCATCGGCATACGTCCTCGCGGTAACCTCGGGAACAACTGCATTCTCACGCAATACACCTACAGTATCCTACAGTAGCATTGAGCCCAATTATGCTCAAAGCGCATCCCCGTAAAATGCCATTCGATGCTCGCCAAAGCGTAGTACACGACCCGCGTAGCCGAAAAACACGCTCAAGTCCATCCAGGGCGCAGAAGATGGGGGTGGCGCCTCGGTGTTTCATGGCCAAAAGCATAGTGTCCACACACCAGGTCAAAAGCCTTCCTAAAATCATACGATATACCGTGATATACCGCCAACCGGTTGGCCTTCATCGTACACGTCAGCCTCGAATTCAAGCGCAATGTCCATGGACATTGATTCAGCCCCCCGTCGCGGCCTACATCCCCAGATTTGCTCATGCGCCCATCCTTCCTGCCATTGTAGCGCAATGCCAAACTGATGACGCGACCACAGTCTATACACAGATAACAATACAGATACAGGGCGATAATCGGTAGGGGAAAGGTCCTCGCACATGCCAGGCTTGGAAATTGAGAATGCATGCAAACGCTGTCGGCGCCCAATATGACAACGCACGCCACTCTTTTGGTCTCCACTGGTCAAGACTACCCGCACTCGTCTTTAGGAACTGTACCGTGGCTATCAAAGTGTCACCAGTAATAACCGGCTAATCCATGTGCGCATTTTGCATATCCACCGAAACGTTCAACAAACTCCTTTGTTTTGGCATGTTTGCTTGCAAGCTTGTTGAAGACAGGCCTGCACGCATCAAGCATAGATTTGAGCTGTTGCTCCTCGTTCGCGGTCAATGTGCCATGATCCATGCGCACAAGATACGTATCGGATTGCCCACCATTCTTCAACAATTTGGGAGTGCAAGCTCCGACGATTGGAGCTTTCATTTCCAGGCATCAATTATCGCATACTTTATTGCTGGGTCTTAGGCTTCGGGTTGAAGTTTTAAGTTTTTGTGGCGTTCATTGCCGTTTGGCCCAACTTGGTGTGGGTCTCATGGTCTCATGATTCCTTGCCCCCTAAACTCCAAACTCTAAACACTCCAACCTTAACTTAATCCCCAGATGCCCCGCCCTGCTCGACTTTGTGGCGCCGTCATATAGGCCGCGGGCTCATTTTATCTGAGTCGACCCCCTGATTTTAATCCTATTTAGCTACCCTCCTCTCAGGTCGTTTCGCCATCTTGGCCATCCTCGGGAGGCACTTGGGCAGCGGGGTTAGGGTTTAGAGATAGGGTTTAGAGAGAGGGTGCAGTGACCGATCGCGCCGCTGCCCTGTTCTGGTTCTGGTGGGGTGACCGATCAGGACGCTGCGCTCCCGGTTGCAGGGGGGGCTGGGGGGGATTCGAGTTTCAGGGTTGGGGGACTTTCGGGGTTCAGGTCTCTCGGTTATGGACGTTCGGTCTTTTGGGGCTTGTGTTGTGGTGGTTAGGTTTTCCTGAAGCCTTGAGCCCAAGCCTGGAGCCAGCACTATGATTGTACTTGTACTTTCCCCAACCCTGGACCCTGCCCCAAGCCCTAGCCGAGAGCTTCTTTTATTCTGTTTTTGGCAGATGCACCGGCGCTGCTGTCGCCCCGCCTTCGCCGTGCCTCCACAAGGACTGGCGAGGGGTTTCTGGGCTGGGTGTTGCAGAGTTTACTTTAACTCTGGGATTTAAGGGCTTTGTTTAGGGTGTTTCGGGCTTGGGGTTAGGGCTGGTTGGCCCAGAGCCTTTGTTTCCGCCCTGTCCC